CAGAACAGGGAACACAATTCTATACTACTGTTGCTGAATAAAACTAAATATGGAAACATGCACACAGAGGAACATTTCTCTTTCTGCTGTCAAAACTGTCATCAAACAATTCAGTGCCTAACAGAGAGAGAAATGTTTTTACTTGTTTGATTTGAAGATTTTCAATTCCTTTGGGACCTCTTCATAGAAAGGTAAAACAAAATTACACCTGATAAGGTAAAAATGACAGAACACTGAAGATGGGGGGAAGAGTTGTCTAATCAGTGAACCATTCCCATTGCCTAGAATCTGGAAGAGTACAGGAGCATGCTGCAATCTTCTTTGTGTGACTGCTACCTCTAGCTTGTTTGTGAATCAAAGAAACTTGACTGCAGTAGACCCACATCACTTATGAGACATTCTAAATGGGGAAGAGTCTGAAAGATCAATCTACAGCAAAATCTTTGGAAGAAAGGAAGTTAAGTGATAATGAGTAGTGGCATGTTCACCTGTGAAGTCTCAGCTCAGAATTTAGGTACTTCCTTGCCCAGTCTCTATAAAACAGATAAAGGTACCTGTCTTCATGAGTTTAAGAGGCTGGCTGAGAAACAAAGATTTTAAATAACACTTCATAACTGCATTTGAAACCAGGTCTTTGGCTTGCCAAGCTGGTCCCTCTGACTCTAGAATATGTATTTATTGACCTTCTATGCATACTGCAAGACCTGTCCAAGTACACAAGCTTTTGCCTGATGACATATGGGAAACAACGTGAGGTTCTATCTTTTAAGGGGTGTGTTGGAATATTTGCTGATGACGTGCCAATTTTAAAATTTGTTGTTTAACAATTATATTTTTCTGTGAGCACTAAGAGATGGCTTGCAAATTTTTGTGGTCAGAATTGATAAAAAACATTTCTAAAATTAAAGATGATGGTATTCACTTATAAGCTAGCTAGGGTGACGATACTTACAAATGAAAATTAAGAATGACTGAAAACACAGTTGAAATGAAATTGGCCTGCAGTTATGGCAAGGTCTGCCATTCATGCTAAAATATGTTCATATTATTAGGCAGTGTGCCATTTAGAGCCAGGAACTTTTGGGTCCAAACCCTAATTCTTTCTCTGATTTGTTTTCTTGGCTTGGGCAAGTCACTCAAGCAAACGCTTAACAAAGTGAGATCTGATTTTTGGTGCCTCCATTTTTGTGTGCCAACCTGAAACACTTTGGGCCAGATTTTCAGTCATGCGGCATCCCCATGAAAGGCAATGAGAGCAGCAGATGATGAGCAGGGCACCAGGTCTCTCAAAATGGACACCTAACAGAGGCTCAGAAATGCAAAGGTTCCTGTAGAAACTGTTAATGCAACTTCTGTTTCTTTCATTAAATGTAAAATGGGAATAATAATGTTTACCTACCTCTCAGCGGCGTTGTAAAGATGAAATAATGTTTGCTAAGCACTTTGGGGAGTGAAGTATTCGGATTATTATAACTCAGAACATTGTGTAAACACTAATATACAATTATACCCAAGATGCTTTTTTATACTTGGACTGTTCAATCAATTTGGTCACTAAACATGCAATTTCACTTTCTTCAGCCAATAATACAATAAACATCTCCCCCTTCTGGTAAGCTGTGTTGAGATTTCACATGTCAGTTTATTCTGATCTTGACAAAAATGTGTTTTTTACTGTATGCTTAGTTTTGTTCCCATGTGTAACATTTCATCAGATAAATACTTTAATTTCTCCTCTGTGACAGAATTGTTACCTGAAGAACAATGTTTTCCTCTGTTCTTTCCTCTCCCTCACCAGTGCATAGTGTGGGACTGGGATTCCAATGGCAAACATGACTTCATTGGAGAATTTAGTTCAACTTTCAAGGAAATGCGAGGAGCAATGGAGGGCAGACAGGTGGGTGCAAACCTTGTATAACATCTGAAAATTATAGACCACTGGTAAGTGCATGTTACTGGTACCCTTCTAATGCACAGAGGACATGAGTCTGGTATGGCTCTAGCTGGAGAGCCTTCATGTTTTAGCTCAAACTAAGGCAGCTTGTGCTTTTAAGCTCTGGGGGTCCCCTTCCACATTCCAGTTTGTTGGCCTAGATGGCAGCCAACAGAATAGCTGCACTGAATTTATTTACAGAGTTGTTCATACACTATAAGAGACCTGAATTTACTGGCCAGATCTCAGTTCCATTGACTTAAATGCCATGCAAGTTAGTACAGAATTTGAGCCTACATATTTATCAGATGTATCAGGAGAGTTTCATTAATGTTCATCGATTGTTGAGTCTAGAATTTGACCTGGAGAACAGTGCTGGGTCCCTCTTGAAAGATTTAGAGATGCATTTTAGTAGTTTATCTACACCTGTTTTGGCTCTCAAAATGGGCTGGAATTTTATGAAAATACTGATCTTACTTCTCACTAGATTTCCAGAATATCCTGATTATATTCTCAGGGGAAGGTAAAGTAAGAGTATCTTCTCCATCCTCCTGCTTTTGGTCTTGACCAAGCCCAAGAAGTGCAGAGAGACTCATGAGAGAAAACAAAACAGAATAATTGAGTGGATGGATAGAAAATGCAGGTCAGTTCAGATTTTGTCTGAACCAGTTCACCACTCTTTACTAAAGAGGTGATCTGTGTAAGCTATAACCATTTTAATCACAAGCATCAGGAGAGCTCAGAAGATTTGCCATGAAATCTCCTGGTACTTCACTAGGACAAAAAAGATATTGTGTGCTATCTGGAAAATCACTGCACTGTTGCTTTGTTGAGAAATGGCGAGTTTCCAGAACTGGTAGCCAAGCTGCTCTTGAATCTGTGTAACTTTGGGCAGATTATCTGATAGGGATCTTTGTCTCCTAGCTGCAGAGTGCCTGCATCTCCTAGGCTATGTCTAGACTACATGGCTCCATCGACGGAGCCATATAAAATAGTTTATTCTGCATAGTCAAAGAATAATCCCCACTTCATTAAAATAAAAATGGCCGCCAAGCTGTGCCGAGGATCAGCTGATCCGGCACAGCATGGCAGTCTAGATGTGGCGCAGTCGACAAAGGAAGGCCGCGTTTCACGAGGCATACTGGATCAGTCGAAAAAGGCTTCCTTCGTCAACTGCTCTGCGTCTAGACTGCCGCACTCTGCCGGATCAGCTGATCGTCAGCACAGAGTGGTGGCCATTTTTATTTTAATGAAGCAGGGATTATTTAAATCCCTGCTTCTTTGACTATGCCGAATAAACTATTTTACATGGCTCTGTCGATGGAGCCGTGTAGTCTAGACGTAGCCCTATAGAAGTCAATAGAAAAGCAAATGCTCAGCCCCTTTGAAAATCAGAATTTAGACTTCCTTTCTGTAGTTCAATTTATTTTGCTATATAATGGGGATAATGACATTAAATTACTGGGAAGCTGAGTGGCTTAATTAATTGATATTTATAAAGCATACTGAGATGGAGCCTCAAAGGAAAAACACTATCGCAATGCACAGTGACTTCCTAGCACTCAGCACTTTGCAAGATCGGGCGTCCCCTCTCATCAAAGCTGTACTGTTGTTATCAGTTCTCCTGATCCACAGAAAAGTATGAAGCTACATAGCGTTAGCTTGTGCTATTCTAGACATGCAAGGATACTAAAAGATTGGGAAAGATATATTGTTTTCATGTTTCAAAGAAGGGGTAACAAATGATAAAGAATAAAACACCACAATTAAGTGGTACATATTTATTTGTATATTTGTATATTTATAATTACCACTGTGCTAGTGCCTAGGAATCCCAATCAGGAATCAGGATCCCAACGTGTGATTACAGTATGTATGCATAGGATATAATCCTAACCCCACAAGTGTTTACAGTCTAGGTGTGTGACAAATGGACAACACAAACAAACAGAGTGAGGCTGGCCAAGGTAACCAAAGGAACCGAGGTACAGGAGAAAATAGAAGTCTCAGTTGGCCACTTGCATAACCAAGCCACATGATAGAGGTTTTTAGGGATCCCACCAAAGGTAGGTTTTAAGGAAGGGATTTAAAAAGGATGAAGTGGTCGTGCTTCAATTTTAATAGGGAGTTTTCAAAGAAAATGGTCCTAAGAGACTGTGATGATGTCAGCATAATCCCAAGTAATGATAGTATGAAAAGAATGAGAGAGAAGTTGACTTGCATTTTCTGGAGGGGAGATCAAAAGTTTAATTTTGGTTCTGTCAAACTTATGTTGCCACCTTAATTTCTCTCAGGAAATGTCACATAGACTGAGATGTGGGTTGCATGGTGGGAAAGCAGTAGATAACTAGATTAGTGAGTTGATGTGGTAAAAGTATTAATTGATGTTTGTGAATAATAGCATTTGCACCTGAGGTTTAAAGAGACAAAGGCAGGACAAGAGGCAGTTGGAGGAGCCACTGAACAAAACACTGAAGTAGCCTTTGGAGAACTAGAAGGAGATTCGTGAGAAACAGAGCTGCACAAGCTGGTGGAATTTTAAGAACCAGAGGGTAGTCAGTGGGTGTACAAACCAATCTGAGAGATAAAGGAAGATGAAAATGAAGAGCTCTGAGATTTGGCCAGAATGGAGTCATTGGAGACTTTATTAAGAGCAGATACAGTGTAATGTGAAAACTGCATGAGTGAGTGGGTGAGAGGGACAGAATGGAATCAAGGATGATCTAGGACCAGGGAACCTCAGTGCATCAGTGTATAAAGCACAGTCTATCATCTTGAAAGCAATGCTGTTTCCTTTAATAAAAAAGTATTTGTAAATATATGGAGAATGCCCTTGAAATTCCATTTTGTTGTTCTTTGTTGTTTTCATTTGAGATAAAATAATGACTCCAATGAAATCAATGGGCTATTTCCCATTTGAGGGTTGTTTGTTCTTTAATTTCCATGTTAATGCTTTGTTGTGCTCTTATTATATTCTGCTAACATGTCCAACAACAGGTCCATTAAAGCACTGAGTTATTTCCCAGCCACGTTCCTTGGGGGGGGGGGGGGGGCGGTTCTCCTACTGAAGACATTACACTAAATTAAAAATCACTAAACGGTTTTGGCAGGATCTGGGGATGAGTTAGAGTTAATTAGAATTTCTGAACAAGCTTCTCCCTCTGGGGGCACCTCACCTCCCCATCACAAGGCTCCATTCTTAGCAATGCTTGGCTCCAGGAAGTTGCCAGTCTCTTTCTGGGAAGGACATTTGAACTAACTGACCCACACTGTGGTGCCATTGTATGTCCTAAGGTTATCTGGACAAGATGTGCTGAAAATGAAATCAGAAGGAAGAAGAGGTGCCACTCTTACTATGAATTATGTACCTGATAGAATTAGTCTCTCTTTCTAATTCTATTTCCAGGCAAATTTCTTTCTCCTATTTATATTCATGCAAGTCTAAGCATATAGGTTCTAGCAGCTTCTAGAATGCAACTGCAGGCCAATCTCACTGTCTCAGAAGAGATAGTCAGAGCACTCACCTGATGATCAAAAACCTTTCACTGAATGAGTGTCATTTTTCTCTCTCTCTCCCTGCCTTTCCCCCATTGCTTGCCCAGCCGTTGCTGCCACCAGCTCTGACTGGAAATCATCATGATGTAACTGATGAGTTTCTTATGAATTACAGTTCCTGGGAGAAAATTGAATTATTACCTCATTAATAATTCCACTTCTTTATGTCAGTTTGAGCCTCACAAATTGGGGTTGATGGCAGTTATTGAACATGATAAATGATTTTGTATATCTAATTTGAGAAGTTGTCATTTCCTATTATTATTTAATCCTGGAGCCATTAGTGTTGATACAGTCTCTGTGTGGGAATTAATAATGTTGGACCTCTAGATTGTTGGTGGTGTTGTAGTGACTGCCCTGATGGAGATGTGGGAATCAAGGTAAAAGTGCAAAACAAACTCAGTCCACACTTTACATTAAGGTTTTATTTGTAAAGAGGGTTACCAAATAGCTAATCAATTGGTACAGAATCCAGCAATTCAATAGGTTGCTTACAATCTATAATGTTTTCTGCTGATGTGTTTATAACCATCTGTGCTGTAACGTGACTCATGTCTGCAATATGCTTCTAACATCAATCAGTCATTTACTAACCCTTTATAAATCATTTACATGGAGCCTTACTATGGAGCCTGATCTAAACTTGTTCTCACAGGGCCGAACTGGAGAACAAGTGGTGGAACTGGACCCACTTGTACCAGGGGTGAACTGGCCCCGTACATTTTAGAGCACTTACTAGATTGCATTGGTGCATGTCGAAAATTAATCACCAAGTGAGTTTGAGTGGCATGAGAGCTTTCAGAAAAAGGGGGCAGGAACCAAGCTGAATAATATTAGCATGCCTGCTCTGGTGAGAAAACAGCAGATTTAAGTACATGTTTATGGGTGGGAGGGGGAGCATGTAATAATGGTCAAATGTGTGCATCCCTAATGGAAACTTCTTCAAAGACAGATAGATGCTCTGTCACCAAAAATGACACACATACGAATAATCAGAGACACTCTTCACCATAAAGCTTAGGGGAGAACATAGGAGATAAATAATACCTGGGATGTCCCAGACGGATTAATGAAGGGGAGAAACAACACATTTACTAAATTCATTTTTATCCCCAGCCTAGTATGGGGAGAGTTGTACTATCACAGGCTTATGAAATTATTACATTCACTTCTCAGTTTTCATTCCCCTTATATGACAGGCTGACATGGTACATCTCAAAACAACAGGAGAAAGCAGAAGACACTTATTTTTCCATCAGATACCAAACATTATTTGGGAGAATGCTTATCTGGGTTATTTAAAAAAAAAAGAAGCTTCTAACAAACACCTGTCTGATCTGTAAAACATATTTCTACAAAACATATCTGATCCTTCAATTTTACCTTTCCTTGAGTCTTATCATTCCAAAACTGACCCTTCATGATTTAACCATCACTTTTGTCTCAGTGGCCCCTGTTCAGAATAAGCGCTTAAACCTATGCTTAACTCTACACTTATTCAGGACAGCACAGATTTCAGTAAAACATAAGCACATGCTTAAAGTTGAGCATATGAGTTGGTGCTGCTCTGAGTAAAAGTGTTTTCTTGAACTGGGGCCAATGCTGTACAGTTGTTTAATAACATGTATTAATACACTAACTAATCTGACCATTTAAAAAGTAGAATGGCCAAGAATGATAACTATTAATTGGTAAAACTGTTCACAGCTGAACTGGGGGAAATCCTCCTCTAATTAAAAACAAAAGCAAAAAAAAACTCCACACAATTTTGAAAATAGAGGCAATAGAACCAGATGGATTGGAAAAAAGCCATAGAAACATAAACCACCTGGACCCTACTGCAAGGGAAGAAATTATGTAATAGAAAAATCTGTCTCTCTAGTTACCAAAAAAAAAAAAAAAAAAAAGAGAGAGAGAGAGAGAGAGAAACCTCCCTAGAGGTGCAAACTCCATTGGCATTCCCACAAGAATATTTAGCTCCCCCATAGAACTTCCCTAATTATGTCCCTCATTAATTAGAATGTTCTGTCAGACAAAAATAGACCTTTCTGGGGATTCCAATTACTGAGATTCGGAGGAGGTGTGGGGGGAGGGGGTCTGTGAAACACAGCTCAGAGCTCCCCTCTCTATCCAAAATGCTGAGTTTCTAAATGTTGTCCCAACCCCTAAGCCCTTCAGATGATTAGGGTTCTATTGCACACGTATAAGTGGGCCTGAGTGAGACGGTAAAGCAGTTAGTGACTTTAGTCACATACTAAGGCAATTCTCAGTTAGCTCTGGTTTAGTACACAGCTCCTGTTCTCTTTTTTAACATCAGAGGGTAAAATCTACTCAGTGGTCTGCACTGGCAGAAGCCAGGCCCTTGGAGGCAGAAAAGAAGGGCTGCAACAGCGCAGTGCATATGTCATTTCCCTTTCATCAGTTAATCTGCAGGCAATCAGCACAGCTCCAGAAGTGCTGGCTAAGTTTTAGAGTCTTGGTCAAGAAATCAGGGGATGCTCTGATATTCACTGCAGTCTGCACCAGCAAGTCTCCTATGGAGCCCTGGCAGAGATTAAAAGCAGCCAGCCTCCTCATGGTGGGCACTTTCCACCCCTTCCCCCCCCCCCCCCCCCAACAAGCAGTGTGCAAACATCACCCATCCTCCTGGATGGAAGGAAGGAACAGAATGGCCCTTAAAGGAACAGAGGGGTGCAATTTCAACTTAGGAATCAGTAGAAAAGTCTCAGGGGGTAGCCGTGTTAGTCTGAATCAGCAAAAAGAAGGAGGCGTTTTCACTTACTTCATCATGGTCCCTCATGAAAACAAAAGTTCTGTTTCACAGTTTCTCTTACCTCAGGGTACATGGAACCCCTTGAATCTGGTACCTTTATTTATCTGACATATTGGACAAAGCCACTGCTGGAAGTATGCTGCTCAAAAAATCTGTTCTTTAAATGTGAATATTTAGGCCATTTTCTTGAGACATCGGACCAATGTAGACACTGACTCTCTCTTTTATATGTTTATGGGAAGAGGTGTCTCAGTGGGTCCCATAATTTTTCACTCCACTTCTTGGGGGATTAGTAGGGTAGGAGAAGGAACATTTGAGGAAGCAAACAATATTCTTTATTTCAGGGAGTAGTATCCCTTGCAGTGGGCATCTGTGTCTCACATTTCAGAGAAACAAAATACAGGACTATGTAGCACTTTAAAGACTAACAAGATGGTTTATTAGATGATGAGCTTTCGTGGGCCAGACCCACTTCCTCAGATCAAATAGTGGAAGAAAATAGTCACAACCATATATACCAAAGGATACAATTTAAAAAAATGAACACATATGAAAAGGACAAATCACATTTCAGAACAGAAGGGGGATGTTAACCCACGGTGAAGAGAAGGCCTCACTTTGTTATGAACGGATATCCTTCCCTCCCCCATTTGATGTTTGAAAGGAATCCTCCTTTTGAAATGCTGAATATGTAAAGTAATTGTATAAGCCACTGGTGAGCATGTGTTACAGGGCCCTAACATGCTGAGCCACAGAGGACAGAAATTGTTACAGCCCTTCATTACAGAAGTTTGGCTCTTTCGCTCAAGATTAAGCTACATATGCTTTTTAGTTCTGGAGGTTCTGAGTATAACCCCCACTGTGTTGGCCAAGATGGCAGCTATCACAATTACTCTTTGGGCTTTGTCTAAAGAGTGTTGAAGTCAATGGTACTGTCTACTTAAAATGAGTCACATCCTTCAATATGTTAGAGTCAGGACCTAATTAAGTATTTCTACCACATTTACACAAAACACTGTAACTTGAAGCCAGCATCAATCAATTAAAATTGTCTAAATACTTATTTACATAACACTGCCACCTCTCGTAGATTTTTTTATGTTGCCTAGCACCATGTCAGTACACAAATATTTCCTTGACTGTGTCCGTCCCTCCCCCCCCCCACCCCTGTTTTCAAAACCTGGCTTGGAAATAACATTAAAGACAATATTTTTCAAATCTCAGGTCCTAAGTAATAGCTCATGCAAAATGGGACTTATGCAGACAGGTATTTGCACATGCAAATATGTGTTATGCTTGTGGAGAGGCATCTATGCATATTTTTGAAGGTACTACTTAGAGTTCAAAGTGTGAAAATTTAGACTCTTAAACTACCAAAACCTAGTAACTTTTAAATTAAAATGAATGTTTCTGCAGCAAAACATTTCAGCTTCAACAAAGCAGCATATTTTTAAAAAATAGTTGAAAATGTTCCAGCTCGTTCTATGTGGTTATTTAAGCTGTCTTTTACAGATTTAGGTTAACTTCTTATTTTTCACTTCTTATTTTCTCATAGTACCTACAGCATATAATATTGCACTCTCAATTATCTGTTTACAACAAAAGGGATTAAGGGAAGTATTTAAATCTGCAGTCTGAATTGCTGTGTTCTTAGTCGTTTAATGCAAATCCTCAATGTTATATTAATAGGTAAGGAGTGTCACACAACCTCCCCAGACATTTTTATTTATATGCAGAGACACTCTCTTTGTAAAAACCCTCAGTGTAAAACCTTCATTTGTGTACATAGACCTGGATATATTTGCATATCAGAATGTATGCACTCAGCCTGGGGCTACGTTAATTTCACTCCCTGTACAGTTAATGTTTAGACATCTTTGTCATTAGACCATCTGACGGGACTTAATCAACCATTGGGAACATATAGTGCAACCTTGATTAATACAGTTTGTTTACATGAATTTTCTTTCATGCGATGACTTGGTGTTTTTACAGGTACAGTGGGAGTGCATAAACCCTAAGTACAAAGTAAAGAAGAAGAATTACAAGAATTCAGGCATTGTGATTCTTAACCAGTGCAAGGTACCTGCATTTGAAAGCATATTTTGTCTGTTCCTCCTAACAGTTATTAATAATGTATGTATAAAGATATTTTTGGAAATGGAACCAGCAAAGAAAATATAAAATGTGGAGCCAAAAATTGTAACATGAGGACAGGAAAAAGGAAGCTATTTGGGTTCTGGCAGACTGTCCTTTCTTAGCCCTATCATGTAGGAAAAATACAGCAAAACCTGTCATAATAAGCTACTACTAAAGGGAACCACAAAAATAGGTTGCCTAGGAAATGTCATCATTAGGTAAAGTGGATCAAAGGTGCACCATGGACACTTTAATGTGGCTTCTTAAAGTGCACTTTGAAAAATGCTCATGGCATGTTCTTGCTCAATAGATCTGATTTCAGTGTATTCAGTCATGTTTCTTGCTCGTGTCAGACTAATTTTTTAGTCTGGTTTGTAGTCCAGACCCCCCACAATTACGAGGATTAATTTGGGATTCTACTGCTTGCATCTCATCAACATTATTTCATTGTTGTTCCAGTAGTCTCAGTCCAAGGATATTAGCAAAACAAGTAGGTGAAGTCATATCATTTATTGGGTCAGCAGAAGTTGGTAAAGAAAAGATCACCCATCTTATCTCTGCCAAGTTCTAATCAGTGACAACTCCTAGAAAGCAATGGGGCTGTGCTGAAGTGATTGAGGACTTAATCTGATCATATGCTATTGAACAGATGCTATTAGTATCCTAATATGTCCTGCAGAATCTTTATTGCAGATGGCGATGAAGAAGGAAACAACCCAACGTGAGTGAGAAACCAAGTCGAGTTTGAGGGACTGGAATCTGTAAAAAATATATATATATTTTACCTGTAAATTGAGCTCATCCAACATGGGAGTCATCAAGTAAACATGGAATTATCTAACGCCATATTTATAGGTTTACTGTTCAAAGTGGAGCATTATTATGGAAAATCTGGTCATTGCTCCGTAAAAAGAGTTGTGTTCACTTATGCACTGAAAGGACAGGTTCAACCACTTTATTACACAGAAAGAGTACACCATACACTCCACCAAATTCTCTCTTTCAGAGTTTAGAGGGACTTTTCTGAGAACTTACAGTAAATTGGTTACTTCATTTGATTTAAAATTGATTTTAAGGTGGTTCCTTTAAGAAATACTGCACCCTGTGATAATTTCCATTATTAGATGGAAATGGTGTAATTATCAGTAATAATGCAAAATAGGCAGATGTGTTTAATAAAAATTTCTGTTACATATCTGGGGGGAAAAACAGATTGGATAGTCCTATCATGCAGTTATAACACTTTTTTTCAGTACACTAGTATGTAAGGAGAACATTAACCAGATACTACACAAATCAAACATTTTCAAATCAGCAAGTTCAGATAGTTTGTTTTGAAGACTGTTAAGAGCTGAGGCGCTCACTGCATTGTCATTGTGATTTTCAATACATCTTGGAACACTGGGGAAATTCCAGAAGACTATAGGAAACCTCATGTTGTGCTAATATTTTAAAAGGGGAAATGGGATAACCAAGGTAATTACAGGCCTGTGAGTTTGACACTGATCCCAAGCAAATATGCTTTAGTAGCTGATAAATGTCTTGATACATAAAGAATTAAAGGAGGACAATATAATTAATGACAACATGGTATTATGAAAAATCAATCCTGTCAAACTAAGTTGATATCTTTTTTTTTAACAAAATAACATGTTTGGTTGATATAGGGGCTGATGTACTGAAGGCTAGGTCTACACTGGCAGAGAAAATGGATGCAAGATACGCAACTCCAGCTTTGTGAATTGCATAGCCAGAGTTGATGCATCTTGCATCTATTTTCTGGGGTGGCCCCACAGCAGGAGGGTGACAGAAGAAATTCTCCCATCAACTTGCCTTAGTCACCAGGAGTTTTGGAGTCCACTGGGGCCCTCTCAGTGTTCAATTTAGTAGGTCCTTACCAGACACGCTAAATCAAACTCTGGAAGACTGACCTCTGGATAGACTCCAGGATCTCAATTTATTTTGCTTAACAAAGAGAAAGTTAAGAATTGACTTAATTACAATGTATAAGGACCTTTACCAGGAGCAATCTTTTAATAATAAGTTCTTCAGTCTCACAAAGAAGGTAGATGAATTGAAGTAAACAAATCCAGACTGGAAAGGTATAAACTCTTCATGGTGAGATGAATTAACCACTGGAACAATTGACCGAAGTAATGTTGAATTTTACATCACAGACAATTACTTAAATCGGAATTGGATGTTTTTCTAAAAAATCTGCCCTAGGAATTATTTGGGGGCAGTTCTATGACCTGTGTTACATGGGTGTGTGGAGGGGAATCAGACAGGTGATCCCTTCTGGCCTTGGAAATCTATGAATGTTTGTCAGACCTGCCCCTCTCTCCATCCAGCCACAGACCCTGCCCAAATGATCTTAAGAATGAAGTAACTCAGACACTTAAAACTTCCCATACTCTCAAAAGTCATAAGAACATAAGAACGGCCGTACTGGGTCAGACCAAAGGTCCATCTAGCGCAGTAGACTGTCTGCGAACAGTGGCCAGAACCAGGTGCCCCAGAGAGGGTGGACCCAAGACAATGATCAAGCGATTTGTCTCCTGCCATCCTTCTCCAGCCTCTGACAGACAGAGGCCAAGGACACCATTTTATCCCCTGGCTAATAGCCTTTTATGGATCTAACCTCCATGAATTTATCCAGCATCTCTTTAAACTCTATTATAGTCCTAGCCTTCACAGCCTCCTCTGGCAAGGAGTTCCAAAGGGTGACTACATGCTGTGTGAAGAAGAAAAAGTCCACTGAGATCTTGTGCCAAGGCTATTTTTGAAGAAAATGTTTTAGGATTAATTGTCATTTGTTGCCATTATTCTTCATAACTGAAAGTTTATCTTTCTGTTAGAGGCTGACAGATAATGTTCTTTTTCAGAAAATTCCATTAAAATCTACCTTTGCTCAACATGCTCTTCTTACCCTAAACTATCTTGCATAGTGACATCATGGGAGAGGGTAGGGAATAAAAAATAAAATTAATTTCATCTGGGTTTACAGACCCTAAAAATTTTTAACCATAAACATATGACTATTAAGCTGTGTTACTGTCAAGCAGAGTTAAGGTTGTTCAGGTTTCCTAAACATCCATACTTAAAATAGTGGATTTTTCTGTAAGTTTAATTTTACCTCTGAATTCCTTGGTTAATAATGTTTGTTTTGGGAATAATTAAATCATCTCTATAATGTGTTGTACTGTAAATTGCTGTCATTGTGAACTCCACCTTAACATAATTTTTATCTGGGAACTTTAAGGTGAGTTTGCTGATTTGAGGTTGCAGACTTTAGAACTTATTTCAGTGTATTTAACAGCGTCCTTGTAAAATAATCCATGAAGAGTGCATCAAAACAAGGATTTAGGAGAAAATAAAGGAGCAATAGAAATAGAGCCCTTCAAAAGAGTAAAAATAGTACAGCCTGGTAGAGGAGCTAGTGTGCAAGCAATGGGCTCTTCCCCCTTTACTTCTTCCTGTTGTTTTATTTTATCAGGAAGCAATCCAATATGCCATACAATGCAATTATGCATCCCTATATCAAAGTTCATCAGGATGACCATCTATGTGAGATGTTTCCCTTCCCAGTCTTTCAAAGTCATGTGTCTGAATTTAAAAAAAAAAAAGCCTGCTCCTTCTCCCTCTTAAATCAATGGCAAAATCCCCATTGATTTCAGGCAGAGGAGTGCTGTTGTGTTCTGTCCTTGATGTGCGTAAATAATTGTAGTGGTTTCAGAATGGTTTGGGATGTGTTCTCATCCTTCTTTGTTCCTCTCTTAATTTAGGTTTAACTCTCTCTCTCTCTCTGATTACTCCCACACCATCCCCATCCATGTTCCATTTTTTCTTAATCAAGCTGTCTCAAAGAAAGTCTGGGTCTTTCAGATGAACTGTGTATTGCTAAATTTCTTTGCTTTCTTATTTCCAGATCCACAAGATGCATTCTTTCTTAGATTACATCATGGGTGGATGCCAAATACAGTTTACAGTAAGTTTTGTCCTGCTCTAACTTGCTTTACTGTAATGAAAGGAACTCCTTTTAAACACTAAGTTCATTGCTTTCGTAGGAAAAAAAAGAGATCTGGCCAACCATTATGTAAATTGATTGATAAAGTGCTAAACTCCTCATGTAAAATATTTTTGACTATAAAATAAGATTTTCAAACACATTTTCATTTTGCATGTGATAGCCGTAAAGCTCCCACCATAACAGCCTTTATGCATATAGAAAGTCAGATCCTCAGTTGGTGAAAATCAGAATAAATCTGATGACATCAGTTATGCTGTGCTGTTGTGTGAAAGATGAAGATTTGGCCTCGAGTCTGCGCCAATAACTGGGTGTGTGGGAATTTTCACAAGATCTTTCTTGTCCTGCCCAGTCTTTAGTCAGTTCCAATTCAGTACGACCTGCCTGCCGTATTTCTGCCTGAAAAGCTCTTATGACATCGTACTCCTGATGCAATGGTTGGACAAATATTTGAATGTGGGCAAAATGTAATAATATTCCCTAATCCAATTCTTAGCAAGGTCTCAGTCATTGGTGCTGAAACCCTTTCCACACGCCAAAATTCAGAAAGTATATAATCAGCCTAACGCAGACACCTGCATGGAAAATGGCAGCCCAACTGGGTAAAGTTTGGTGAAGTGACAAGGCACTGAAAATAGGGTATTATAATGGGAAGTTTGGGGCAGAAGTATAAGCAGTGCTAGTATCTCCGCCCACAATGCCTACACATATGCAGCTCTTAAGCCGTGAGCTTATCTAGCGGCTAAAAAAAAGTAAAAATATAAAAATATCCCTCAGCCAAACTTTATAAGTCCGCCTACCATCAACCACGTTAAATTCTTGGACCTTTCAGTTTTTCCACTTCCAACGCTAGTCCGGTACTATTTGATAATGACAGTCATAAATTTTGCTAGATCACCATTTTAAAAGGGTATTTAACCTTCCCCCAGTTTGCTCATGTGAAATGCTATCACCTGCTGTCACTTTTGTGCACACATCATTGAATTCGCACACAAAATGTCATTTTTGTCATTGTGCAGTTAATTTGTGTGCAAATGGATTATTCATGTCTATGTTCTGTCATATGCACTCTCAAATGCATAGAAACTATACAATGGTGATGGGGCAGATATTAAGACTATGCCAGGCCATTTTGTTCTAGAATTCATGTCAGTGCTTTATTTGTAATCAGTGCAAAAAGACATGTGTGGTTTTTTTAATGATCCATCAGTTTGCAGTTAAGATGTGCAGAGATGTTTGACTCTGCCTTAATTACATGGGCTCATAAGCTCACATTTGTCAAAGATGGCTTGGTGAAACACTAAGAATCTATGAAATCCACCATCCTGTAATCAGAAAGGGAACAGTATTTCTTGAATTCTTGTACAACATTATGGAATGTTAATGGCAACATAGAAATGTGTTCTGATAAACCTCAATCGTATATTTCCTTCCCTTTGCTAAGAGAGAGCCAAACTTACAAACTCATAGTAAGTCATCCAACCCTCTTTTTGTTTTAGAATTAATTATGTTTCCGTTGAGTTCACGCCGTGTACAGATAGTACAATGCAGCTGTGATCTGAAAGGGGGAGGGAAACTAGGATGCTAAGCATAGGTTTGGGAACAAAAAGCTATCGTAGAGTGCATCTGCTAATTTAAAGCACTAATGAAAGCTTCTGTAACATCATGCTGTGTGCTCTTGGGACACTTTGCTCCTCCATTGTGGTTACACAGTTCCTGGTTAGAACAAACATCTTAGAAAACCAAAAGTAAATGTATTTTGGTTCTTTAAAATAATGTGTAAAAAACCACCTTTATGCTAGCTGTGAAAAAACAGTCAGTAGAAGTTGGCAAAGTGAATGGGTTTAACATCAGAAGACATTCTCTTCATGTTAGGAAGTCTGGCAGAACGAGTCTGTAACACCCAGTTTAAAAGCTATAAAAGAAAGAGTAGGATAGCTTCTGAGTCAAACAGGTCAAGACAGTAAGACAGGCTGGGAATTTGCTGATTGAGCTGATAGAAGGCTAAATAGAAAATTATCAGTGCATTAAAAACACTTTTATACCAGTTAAGGAAATCATTCTAAGATTGTACAGGTTGAACCTCTCTAGTCTGGTATTCTCTGGTCTGCATGATTTTAGTTACCCAGATGTCCACTTAGCACGGGTGTGGCCAAATTTTCTGTGGTTCCATAAAGTTTGTTTAGAGCCACCAGTCCTGGCTCTCAGTGATCTATGATGTTATTTAGCTCTAATTTACCCCTAAATGTCTTCTAAGAGCCCAATAAGTGGTGGAACTATTGGTAATGCTGCTAGACAATATTAGCCTCCTGTTATCTGGCAAATTCTCTGGTTCAGCACCAATCAGGTCTGGAAGGTGCCGGACTAGAGAGGTTTAACCTATATAATCTTTTGCTGTGGGTTAGTCATACCAAACAGTGGGAGGTTATGGAAGTGCTAACACCTGGGATCAAACACAAGCAAATATGTTGTAGGGGAAAACCCTGTTTTAGCAGGGGATTAGGCTAGCAAATTCCATCCCTAATTTCTGTGATTCTTTCATTTAGAATCAGAACGCTGTCCTGTAGACACAGAGTTTTGGTCCTGCCATGCAAGCCTGAATGTCTTAAATTACCAGTTGGAAACATCAAGACACTTGAGCTGCTACATGCTGCTGCTTTGGAACCGTTGCAAATATCATTTTGACTTTCTGTAGAAAACCTCCTCTCTGCAAGACACGGGTTCAAAACTGAGCATTGGCAACTCAGTGCATCAGCATATGAGTGCCATTATTGGTTTTGTGGAAGGTTATTAGTAGTGAAAGAAAAGAGCTCATCACTCATCCCCTGCTTCCTCATATCCCTAGCGATGCATCTTTTAAAGCTTAAAAGCTTTTAAAGACCCTACTGTGTTCAGAGAAAGCAGCTGATGTTATGCTTTACACATTTGTGGATGGAACTGTAATTGTAGTTAATGATGGAAGAAAAAGACAGTATTCCTCTTCTACACAGCATACAGTGTATCTTTTGGTGATACCTGCTGTGAAGATTATACTGTGCAGCAAAATCACAAGTTTAATAAAAGCATCATAATAGGAAATGAGGGTATTCACGGTTTGTAAATACACACATATTAAGTGAATCTGTACTATAGGGACAATTTCCAGGGAAGAAACACATTTCGATCAGGCTTTTACTATCATCTTACCTTTCAAAACACCTACACCAAGCCTGCTCCCACTCACGAAGCCTGCTGCCTCATTTTGACATCCTGTGATCACTTTCGGTTAAATTACACCACAATGACCTGGGCAAACAGCTAATGCAAGGAAAAGGTCTTGTCCAATTCCATCTGGTGCATGTCACTCCAACTTCATTACAAGTTTCTTTTAGGGTTCTGAGTGAAAAAGCCAACATCCATAGCATCTTTATAACACCTGCCCCTTTTTATTCTAATATATGAGAAAAAGTAGAATGTAGGAAGTAGAATAACAATCATTTTTTGTAACCTATGCACAATATTTCCAGTTAATTTTATTCAGAGAATGTATAAATGTTTTACTAAATAATTGCAGGCATACATAAGCCAAGATATTCAAAAGCAGTTAACCAGCAGCTGGGAACTGAAATCAGACCATTGTTTTAGGTGCCTAAATACAAATCAAACTACTATTTTTAGACTCATGCTTTTTAAAAATATTGGTGCACAGACGTATTTCACAAGGAATACAAGTTTATTGGGATTCCTCGAAATATGAGCAGAGTCCATTTATGGCCACTGGTAAGATCAATAAATAGGCATAGTCTTCATGTAGAGTCTCTACTCCCTTTCATACCTACTTCCTTCCAATGTAAACTAAACCCAAAGAATATGGTTGTATCTAGAGCTGAGCGAGAATTTTCTATCAAACAATTTAAACATCTCTGAATATATTTTTTAAATTATCTGTTCTGTGAAAACAAGACCATACATTCATGTTCTGATTTGTAGACGCTCTTCTTCCTTCTCTCACACCACGCCTCTTTTCACTTTTTCTTTCAGTGTGTCTGCCCTTAAGTTGGTACACACCAGGATAGCATGCTAGTTTACACTAGCTGAGAATCTGCTCAAACTGTTCTGAATGTGTCTCCTGCTATTATTCTTGCTATGCTTATCAAATGGTTGTCAACAGTCCAAACTCCAATAGCTGCAGTGCTGAAGGTCTTAAAAGAATCATCACTCAAAAGTGTGACTAGCTGGCAGCTTGATTCTTGATGGTATAGGTGCAAAATGTTATGCACATAAGGTAAAAACATATGTTCTTCCAGTCTCCTATCAAAAGGGGCCAATTCTCAAAGATTTAAGAGAAGGAGTTACCGTACATGAAACAGATTCTGCAAACAACGTTCTGGACCACAATATGGAAACTGAGATTTGGTGGTGTGAGGATTAAAAATTCTGATTGGCTCTTACCACCTCTAATGACAAAGACTGACATTTTCAAAGATTTTCATTCCACAAGGAGTAACAGTTAATTCAAACTAAGGAGTTCGGGCTAGTGAAATTTCAAAAGGGCAACAGGACGGGAACATGCAAATAAAGCCCGGGATATTTAAATCCCGGACTTCATTTGCAACTCCGGTCACCTCATTTGTCTACCTAGCTCGAATTAACGAGCTAGTGTAGACATACCCTGGGAGCCTAAAATTATTCCCTTTGACTTGGGTTGCCAAATAGGCCCTTTCAAAATCCACCCTTAGACAAATACAGAATGTTGGTCTGTGATAGAACACTTTGGGAGAGCTTCATGTAGCTAAACAAAAATATCGTCTAGTTGTCAGAGCACAGGGCTAGAAGCCAGGACTTTCTGAGTTCTGGTTCCAAGTATGATACAACTGCCCTTGTCATTTTGGGTCAGTAACTTAAAAGAGAATTGCAAAGCAAAACTGAAAAATGAGTTCAGTGCAGATTTCTCTGCTGAATACCATTGCCTACTGTGTCTTCTGGGGAAAGGGAAGCAAAAATACTTTTAACTGTAAGTTTATTTAACATTGTTATTTCTCTTTGTAAAATCTTTTGGTTCGAATTGGTTCACAGAAGAGATCTCAGAATTCAGAATCACAAATGACAGAAATGTTATTCCAGCTCATGCCCCGATGAGCATATTCAGCATTTTGTTTTTGCCTTGTAACCCACCATTAAGCTTTCTGCCATCTGCATAATGGGGCGGGTTAAATAAGTTAATAATTGTGAAATGCATTGAAGCTGAAAAGCACTAAGGGCTAGTTTTCATGATTATGAAAATAATAATAAACAGTAACAAAGGAAATGAAGAAAGGAATGAGACTCTGTCTGGAATTTTTTTGTTTAGGTATTTTGACTCTGTTCAGATTTTATACTAGAGACTGATTTATAGACCAGGAATCACCTGGCTGGAAAGAATTTAATTAAACTCAGAGAACTTAGAACTAATTAATTAGATAGATTTAAATGAAAATATAATTCCCTAAATGGAATAATTATGTACTTCATTGTTTTTCCGCTTATATAGTTTCAAACATATATCATAACATTATCATTTACTTTAGACATACTTATAAATATAAACATAATTTAGATTTGGTGGCATTTATTTTATAACCTCCTTAGACTGGTTAGCCAGAAAACAAAGCATTTTAATACAGGAAAGAACAGTATTAGACTTCCATTTACAGTAAACTTCTGATAATCTGGCACCTTTAGGACCCAGGGAGTGCCGGATTATCAGACATGCCGGACTATCGGAAGGGGGGGGCTATGAGGGGTTTAGGCCCCAGACCCTTCATAGCCACCCCTTTTGATAGTCCAGCTCTGCCCCAGGCATCCCAGATTCAGCCGCTGCTGGTCAGTTTCAGCAGCAGCTGAATCGGGACGCCTGCGGCAGAGCATCTGGATTGCTGCTGGATTGGTCCGGTAGCACTGCCCCTTGGCACTGCGAGATCAACCCGGCAGCACCCCAGCTGCTCTGCCCCCAGCTTCCCCAATTCAGCCGCTGGTCAGTTTCAGCAGCAGCTGAATGGAGGAAGCCGGGGGCAGAGCAGCTGGGGGGCTGCCAGGTTGGTCCCACAGCGCCAAGGGGTGGCGCTACCGGACCAACCTGGCAGCCCCCCAGCTGCTCTGCCCCAGGTGTCCCCAAGAGCAACTGAGGTGCTGCCGGGTTGATCTCGCAGTGCCAAGGGGCAGTGCTCCCGGACCAATCCAGCAGCAATCCAGATGCTCTGCCGCAGGCGTCCCGATTCAGCTGCCGCTGAAACTGACCAGAGGCTGACTCCGGGAAGCCCGAGGCAGAGCAGCTCTGCCTCGGGCTTCCCAGAGTCAGCCGCTGGTCAGTTTCAGCAGCAGCTGAATGGAGGAAGCCGGGGGCAGAGCAGCCCCAATGGTCCGGCTGCCCGGAGCACTTCCAGGTTCCTGATGGTGCCGTACCATCAGGAGTGCTGGACCATCAGATGCCAGACCAATGGAGTTTTACTGTACAACCTAAATAAATGCATTACCGGCATGCACATTACATATAGTTTGTTAGCTAGAAAAATAAATTGTGATATAGGATGTTCACTGTAATGATGCTGTTTATGCTGATTTTTGCTCTGTATATGATGATGCCACAAAAGGGACATTATTGCAGAATTCATTAATTAGTTTAATTTTTGTTTTAAAACTATCATATCCAGCAACTGTCCATGATAAAAAATGTGGCAGATCTAGAGATACCCATGTACTGTAACATTAATGGAGAGCAACTCTCCTTTCCTTTCCTTTCCTTTCCTTTCCTTTCCTTTCCTTTCCAGGTAGCTATAGATTTCACGGCATCCAATGGAGATCCTAGGAACAGCTGCTCTCTGCACTACATCCACCCGTATCAACCTAATGAGTACTTGAAGGCATTGGTTGCTGTTGGGGAGATTTGCCAAGACTATGACAGGTAAATAACCATGTTTGCTAATAGAATTGTCTCTAGAATGTGTTTTAACAATACAGAACTGATGACTTCATGCTGCCGGCTGCAATCATTTAATGTTACTCACATACAGGAATCCTTATAGGTAAAAAAAAGTTTCAATCTACAAATACTGAGAGATACACTTGAGATTCATTCATTTAAAAACTAATGTTTAACAGAAAACATCTATCTCAAAGATATATCATTGATGTGTATAGTACATGTCTTGCCTGTCTGCTTCTATGTTGAATTACATATTCATGAGCATGGTAATCCTTTTTACACCTGTATGACTAGTTTATATATGCATTGTAGGTATCTTTTTTTGATATTCTTGTGGATGACTCTTTTTGACCCTACAAGAAAGTTGTGAACCCTTATTGATTTCAAATAGCTCTCCCGTCACTGTCAAATAGATTGGCCATTACTAATCTAAATTACCCTAGTAAAACCCCTTTAAGTATTCTTTTTTTTATTTTATGAATGTATACAGTGATTTTATGCAATGATTCTCTCCAAAATCAAGGACAAATTTTGACCACTCCAGCAAGGATTTTTAATTTATACCTACTTGTATTTTGTACAGCATGAAATAGAATCATAATTTTTAAAGAAGAATATATTATGCATTAAAAAGTATCCAGCCTGCTCACAGAATGATCTTCACATTCCAACATAAGTTTATCATGGCAGGTGTAGCACTGTATTGAACTGCAGCTTGATTTATTTCTCCCTTACTGTATATTAACTATTCCTTCAACCGGGGACTGTGAGCTTCTTTACTATTAAATTTTTTAGGTGCAAAAATATTTTAAAAAAAAGCCATACACTTTTGATGACCTCAAGGTTAGGTGAAATGCTAAGAGAGAGAGAGAGGACAGGAGGAAGCTAGTGGTGGACAGAAAGGAACAGATATAGAAAGGAAAGACAGAGCAGTATCTCACATATATCAGGCTGGATCCTTGATGGCACAGAAGGGTCAGATGTCCCAGTTGGTGTGCTGGTGTCATAGGGTTGGGAATGCATAATAATAATATAATTAGGACCCTACCAAATTCACAGTCCAGTTTTGTAAATCTCACAGTCACAGGATTTTTAAATTGTAGGGGTCCTGACCCAAAAAGGAGTTGTCGGGGTGGTTTCAAGATTATTGTAGGGATGATGCGGCACAGCTACCCTTATTTCTGCTCTGCTGTTGGTGGTGGTACTTTCTTCAGGGCTGGGCGGCTGGAGAGAAGCCAGTGCTATCCAGGAATCCAGCTCTGAAGGCAGAGCCACTGCCAGCAGCAGCGCAGAAGGAAAGATGACATGTTATGGATGCCCTTCTCCATTGCTGCCTGCAGAGCTGGGTGCTTGGTCAGCAGCCACCAATTTCTGGCTGTCCAACTCTGAAGGCAGTAGCGCAGAAGTAGGCTGGCATAGTATGGTATTGATACCTTACTTCTGCACTGTTCCTGGCAGCTTCTGCCTTCAGAGCCGGGTACCTGGCCAACAACTTCCACTCTGATTGCCCAGCTTGGTAGCAGTGCAGAAGTAAGAATGACGATCTTCCTGGAATAATCTTGCAACTCCCCTACAATTCTCTGCTGGGATGGGACTCCCGATTTGAGAAATGCAGGTCTCCCCTGGGAAATCTGTGGAGTGTAGGGTAAAAGTACACAAAAGACAGATTTCATAGCCCATGATGCATTTCTAAAGACTGTGAATTTGGTAGGACTCTAATAATGATCCTTGAGGTTCACAAGCAAAGGACAAGGTCTCTTCAGAGAGTTAGAGGCTTGTCTGTCTTTCCGCCTAGGAATCCATTCTCCATTTGATCCCCAACCAAGTCTTTTTTTAAGGATCTCAAAAGGGGCTGATAGTTGGAATAGTGTATCCGCTTATTATTTTGTTCACCATAACACCTAGTTTCCAGCATGCTAATTTTGGTCCATTAATTTCCAGACATGCTGTCACCACAGTCATTGGGTTGTTTCAATACAGCTTTTGATTGATCCAGTCCAGTCTATCGGTCTTTAAAGTTTTCTGACTTTTATAAAAAATATTATGTAACAGGCTGAGTTGATTTTTTTTTTAAACCCTCAGTCAAGTTCAAGTACAGGCCTTCTGCCAAACAGGTCTTTGGGGTTGTGAGATGAAACAGAAAATGTTTGCAGCAACTGCTGAAAAATGAAACCACTGAGTTTTGTATAGTTCCTGTCATTTGGAACATTTTCCTTTCCTGTATTCAAACAGCACACATGAGTATAGTGCTTCTTGTGCCAAATACTTAACAAAAAAAGATTGCGGGGGAGGAAATATAAAGCTCTCATCGGGGTATGGATATTATTTCCAACACCAGCATTATTAGAAAAACTATATAAAGATTGTAATTTAATAGAATAGGTAGGGAAATAATTTGTCATTGAGCATCATCAGTGTCAACAAAGCAAGTAGCATGATCATTTTTTATATGGTCAGTTCTGCTGATATCGCAATTAGATATGCTTTCTAGATCACTACCAAATATAGACATTTTGGGCAATAATGTAACTGAAGTCATGAGGCAGATCTATTTTCAAACTTGCACTTTGTGCTACTATAACAGGGTTCCCAACATCTTTTTTGGATAGATATTTGTGAACAAAGTAAATCAGCATTTGTAATAGAGTGGGTTTGAATATTTTTCAAGTAAATATTTTTCATCAAAAAATGTCAATTTGTAGAAACTGAAATTGTTTGTGGCAAAAGGTTTGTTTTGATAAATTTCATTACTTGAAAAAGGGGTTTTGAAATGATCAAAAATGTCCTGTTTTCACATTTTTATAACAAAACATTCATTTTCTTTTGGTTCAAGTCAAGCTTTTGTTTCAAAATTTAATTTAGTTTATACTAAAAACAAGATTAAAAGGAAAAAATATCAAAATTGGAATGAAACATCATAATCATCAAAGAAGCATTTCAGTACAGTATTGTGATACCTTTTTCCAATTTGTCAGTTCAGGAAAGTTTTCATGATTTTGACAACTTGTCCCAGTGTGGGTCAGGGGGAAAAAATTATATCCTGAAAAGTCTCTTGGGATGGGAAAGCCTTTTCCCATTCAGCCATATGATGTTTATAATTCAAACCCCTCAAGACTGGCCCATCTCTGTTGTGCTTTTGTTATATTGGCAGTTCCAGCTAGCATATATGATTAACACATAACAATGCAATGATATAAAAGATGCATCCCTCATGATATTTTACAGCCTCTTTGAAGGTCGTAGCCGTAAGTCAGAGCAATCCAGTATATCTCTACAAACATATAGTATATTAAAATGTCTGGTCTGATAGCCTCCATGATTTGTTTTCCCAAAGATGGTGCTGGACAATTACCGGACAACCATGAGTGGCACTTCATCATTACATAGAGATAACTGTCTCTGTACAGGGAAAATATTTTGGAATTGGATTGAAAAGAACCTGATCAGACAGTCTTAAATAAAGCTACACTATTTAAAATTCGGCTCCATCTACAGAGCCAAATTATGAAAAATTTTGTAAATAATTATATAGTAGTATAATTCTTCAACAGTAGCAAGTATGGAGCAAAAGAAGTGGATTGGATTTGAAAATCTGGCCATGTGTTTGAAATGTTGAAATTTTATTTTGCTGCTTGTAAAATTGCATTTCTAATCTCCAGCTCCCATTGATCAAATTCTCTATTTTAATTTGAATATTTTTATTCTCTTCCCTGATTCAACAATAAATGCATAGCCCCAGTTAAATCAATCAGGAAGAAGCACACGCCTAAGTGCTTTGCTGAATAACGATGGAGTTAAGCATCCTTATTCTTAGTGTGGAATGCAATATACAAATATCAGACTACTCAGTATGGTCCTACATCCTCTTTCATGACTAATTTTTACAGAAGATGTTACATTTATATCAGACCCCCTTTACACTGCCAGAGGAATATCAAGAGAGCTAATGTAAAGGAGAATCGGGTTCTATATAATCAAATTAACATTTGTAACTTTAAAAAGATGAAAGCGTAAAAGTATTAAATTTTTAAAATATTTGTGTCATCACAAAAATCACAGAACATCTCATTCTGCTTATGTGGCTGCCATTCTGCTGTGTTCTCACTCCCATAATTTTGTAAAGCATTTCATTTCCTGCCATCAGTGCTGGTGACTGGACTTGATGGCCTCTAGAGCAGCGGTTTTCAAACTACGGGTTGCAATTCAGTACTGGGTTGTGGAAATATCAGGCACTGGGTCTCATTGCTGCAGAGTGATCAAGTGAGCAGTGGGGGTGCAGAGGAAGGCTACCTGCCTGTCTTGGCACCACAGACTGCAGTGTGCCTCAGATGCAGGCAGCAACAGGATCGGCTCTTGGGGGAAAGGGTTCTGCACACTGTCCCTGCCCCAAGCACTAGCTCCACACTCCCACTGGCTTGGAACCTGCTGCTGGCTGCTTCTGAGTGCAGCATGGTCTGCAGTGCCAGCAGAGGCAGGAAGACCTGCCTTAGCACCCCCACTGCACCACTGACCAAGAGCCACTCAATGTAAGCCCCCCATCCCATCCTTGACCCCACCCACCAAAGCCAGAGCCCCTCCTACACCCCAAAGCTCTCATCCTCATCCCACCCCAGAGCCCACACACTAGTCAAATTATGTTGAGTCATGAGCATCAACAATTTTCTTCAACAGGGTCATGAGAAAAAAAGTTTGAAAACCATTGCTCTTGAGGTCCCTTCTAGTTCTATTTATCAATAGTAAGCGGTATCCATTTTGCTCATTCTAAAAGTTTGAAATTTCAAAGTTGTTGTTAGTTTACATTTCTCTGCTTGTTCACCTTCAAAGATAATCTTCTATTTTTATATTTCAAGACGTCCTTGAAACATATGGAAGCAGGGTTATATCTGTCCCCAGATGCCAACATCTTGTTTTCATTTATGGAAATAGCCTCCTTAATTCTACATCCACATATTGTTCCTGAATACTAACATGACAAATGT